GGGGGGGGGGGCGGGCGGGTCCGACAGTCTTGGCTATCGCCGGACTCTTGGACAACCGCCTCTTATCTCCCAGACGTGCTCGCGTCGCGGTGCAAACCACGACGGGACATTTTGGGCCTTTTGCGGCGCCGTGGGGCCCTCGCCGGGCCCTGGGACCGTCAACAAACAGCTCAGGATGCAAAACCGGCCCTGGGAAAGGGTAGGGACATCTGGGGAACACGTCGTGAACAAATCGATACATCGGATCTCTGGGCTTGTCGCCAAAGTGTCCCGCGACGGGGGTCGGTTTTTTGTGTGGGCATCCAGGAAGCTCCTCGTCGCCACGGCTGGGTCCGCCTCGAAGATTTGACCTTGCCATGCTCTGGGACAGTCGGGGACGCCCTACCACAGGTAAACAAAAATCCAAGTCGGCCAATACGCAACCCGACCGGGCGCTTATAGCAGCTGCCAATGCTGGGTCAGCAGAAACCTTGAAAAGGGAAATCGGCCCCGCGTGACTCCCAAACCCAGGTCCCCTGAGATCCGACGCTGCGACAAAATACATCGTAGCCAACAATCACGACAAGAGCCCTGGACCCCATTATCCTGTTGAATTTCTCGAGCCAGATCGATCTGCGAGGGTCCCGGGGCCTGAAACAAGGCAAGGTCGCCCAGCGTGAAAACCTGCATCGCCAGGATCTCAAGGAAAAGGAATCGGCCCCACGTGGCTCCGAAATCCGGGTCGGCCAGAGGGGGATTGGTTGACCCCCGTTAGCGATGATCCCAGGGGTCGGTTTCGGGCCCCGGGACCGGGATCCGCCAAGATGGAAGGGGGTTCTGAGGGAAGCGGGCCCTGCAGTTTTGATGTAGCGGAGTTCGGGACTCCCTGGGGCCCTCCCCCGGGCCTGGGGCTGTCGAAACCCCTTTTCCCCCCCTCGTCCACCTCCTCCGCACCTTCCTCCTGCCGCGCCTCCTCCTCCTCGTCCTCCTCGTCGTCCGCGTGTCTATCCCCTCTCCCTAAACCCCCCTGAAGCCCCCGAGACCTCGCTAGAACCTCTCGTCCATTTTCGGAAGCCCGTCCAGACGTCTCACGGAATATCCACGGATCTTTGGAGATTCCCCCCTTTCTCTCTCCCTCTCTCTCTCTCTTTCTGGTCCGACCCCGCCCCTTGTCCTGCCCCGTCTCTGTCCTGTCCTTCCCTTGTCCTGCTTTTCTCTCCCGTCCCCAATCCTTCTACCTCCCTCCTCTTCCACCTCCTGCTCTTGCCCCCACTTTTTCCCTCTCTTCAGTACAACCCCGTAGATCCTGGCCATGACACAGACTATCCCCCCCAAGTACATTCTGAACCCCCCTCCTCTTCTTCCTCCTCCTCTTCCTCTTCGTTCTCGTCGTCCTCCTCCCCTGCATCCTGCCTTCTCCCAGTGAATCCCGGGAGGCCCCGTCATTCCTCAGAGCCAATCGACAATTCATAAGCGCATCTCCTCGTCCTCCTCCTTTATTTCCTCCCCCTCCTCCCCCTGGACGCGTAGTTGCGCGCTGTGTGTCTCCGCACCTGCCGCCGCCCTCTACGGAACGATATCCTCGCCTGCGGCACCAACTCAGTTAGCTGGTCGCCCGCGAAAGTGCTCGAAAGCTAAAGTTTCGCACGGGCACGCGACTGAACGAGAGATGCGGCAGCGGGAAGATCAAGGACGTCTGGGCGGGGGGGAAAGCGAAGAAGCCGAAACGAGATATGGGACATGACGGCAATCCATAACCAACATCGCGAGACCAACCACTCAGGAAACGTATGCATTGAGACACATAGTGATTAGACGAATCGCTGCCACCACAACCGCAGATGCACGTGCGCGGGCGCTGCTCATGCATGCGAGTCGAGGTGGTCCAAACCGCCGACAGGGTGCGGCCTGAACAACGTGGAGCTGAACGCGGCCCATCAGGGCCTGGTGCCCGTCAAAACCGACGGCCGCGATGTTCCGTCGCATCTCAAGCCAAACCGCGCGCAGACGGGCCCGAAACTGCTGGGTTAAGCAGACAGGGGACAGCTCAGCACGTGCGGCTTTCATTGAAGCTCCTTGAATCTTCGGCTGACGGAGGGGAGGAGGGGGCACCGTTGGCAGCAGCGGCCTTGGAGCAGCGGGTTTCCGTCGCCGCCTTCAGTCCCGCGCAGCCCGCGCGCCGCTGTTTCGGGCTCTCCGTGAACCCTTCCGTAGCATTCTTTGCGTGAGAAACCACGGGGCCACCGGCCCAGAAGCGCGGAGAGAGGTCGCCGCGGACCAAGTCTGCCAGGGACAGGTTCGGGGCCGCGTGCTCGAGCTTAGCATGCAAAGTACGCCATTCAGGAGAAGTATGAATGCAGCCCTCTGCGGGGTGGCCATGGACATAGCCGAAATCGACGTTGGCGGGCCCCCCCCCCCATTTCTCGAACTCAAACCAGCCCGCCCTCGACAGACAGCAAAGCGGCGCATTGTACAGAGACGAGAATCGGGCGCGTTCACAACGTGACGTCGGAAAAGGCGAGTAAGTATGGGGGTCATCGGACGAGGGGGGTTCGCTGCATATGCGAGCGCGGACGTGCGGAGCTCGTTGAATAATTGGGTTGTGATGGCAGCGGGGCAATTCGCAGCAGAGGTGAGGGCTGAACGCCTCGCCCAGTTCAGAACCTACGATTTCCAGTCTGCATCGCGTGCGGCTGGTCCAATCACCGCGCCCGATTACGTCGTCGTGCTCGTTATCTGGAGGCCCGGCCGCGCCTGTGGGAGACGCTCCAACCAGCTTCGACATGATGCCGCCATCTCCTCAGTAAAAGCACCAGCGAGAGGAACGATGCAACGCTTCTTGCCTTTGGTCGTCAGGCCTGCACTGCGGTCGCTCGTATCGAACATCATCTTGAACGACTGGAGGTAAGCCGAACCATGAGGGGCGCTGCCTGCGTCGTCGGCGCAGGCGCGAGGCAGACCTCGGAGCTCACATTCCCGATCGATATCCGCATGCGCTCGGTGGGGGACTGGGCGCGACGCCACCGCGTGCAACTCCAGAAGCAAGGCGCCCCTGAAACACTCCACTTGTGATGATGTAAAGCGTGGGTCGGAGGTGCCGCGCAACTCCGTGACATCGAATCTCTTCCTAGCGGGCCTCCAAGAAGAACAGAAGCGGCGATGGCAACGACGGCCGCCCTAAGACCGTTCAGAACCACTTGTATGTAAGATCAATGGGGGGGGGCCTGGCCCTAGTCATAAGCGATAAGAGCTGCGTCGCTGGGAAATCGCGAAGCACGCGGTGGCGCGACGCGAATCTGAGTGTACATTTCGAGGGCGTTCAGTCTGACATTCCTCCCAAGGGCGAACCCCGCTGGATGAAGTGCGCGAACTGGTTGTTGGCCTTCCCGAGATGTCGGCCGGCCGCAGCCGTGGGCGCTTCGTTGGACGTGTTCTTGAACGCAAGGGGTCTCGTGGCCTCCGCATCTCTGGCCTTCCTCGGTCCCTTTCGGAATAGAAGCTCTGCGAGTCCACCGGGGCGCCTTATCTAGGACCCGCCAAAAGGGCCTATCTAGGATCTCGACCCAGCTGGGGCGACGACGCCAGCCAGCGTAGGGTGCCCCGTCAAGCCCTGGAGCGCTGTGGGCGGCCTTCGCGAGCGTGCGCTCTATGTTTCTCAGGGTGGGCAGGGGGGGGGGGGGGGGGCGGGTCGGCGAGGTCTGGGAACTTCGGGGGGTACTTATCGAGATCTTCAAGGGCCTCCGAAACGTCGATCTCCTGAGCGGTGAAGACCTGGCTCCAGTACTCGGCGAGGTACTTCAGTTTCTCCTGCAGCGACGTGCTGGCCCCGCCAGCATGTCGGACAGCAGAGAGCGTCGTCCTGCTGTCGAGCGGCGACCAAAGACGGGCTCTATCTACCACGCCTCGGATACGTCGACGGAGCTTACTCTTCTGGATGTCCTGGGTGACCCAATTGCAGCTGCTGTCGGATTTTCCCCTCCTCCTCGTCGGCAATTTTCTTGTGTGTCTGATGGGGGCCCAGAAGGTGATGTTGCGGGGCTTCCAGGGCAACTTCGGAGGTGGTCGGGTCTAGCTCCAGATGCTTGTCTCCGGGGGGGCTTGGCGCGAAGCGCGAGATCAGCTAATTCGGCATCTTGGCGCCGCGTCGCGCAGGCAACGCACGTGAGCACGATGTGCTTCGCAGAGAGGTCACCTGGGTGGCGTCTTATCGGCGAGTTCCCAGCGTGCCTTGCAGCCTCTCGGATCACCCGAGTGTGGAAGTCAGAGCGCAGGGGCGGGGTCCAGGGCTCATCCTTGGATATATCCAAGATTCCCTCCCGAAGCACTTGAAACGCGGGGTGCTCGCCGACGGTCTCGGGGGTCGAGAGCTCTTCCAGTGGTCGAGGCTGGCTGCTAGATAACTTGATGGCGGTCGGAGCGCGGTCGGGCGCCGCTTTGGCACCTGGCGGCTCGGCCATCTCTGGGCGCTGCCCCGCCGAGGGCGACGAATCATTATGCAATGTGCGCGCGTGTGTGCCGTGCGCTATGATGGCGAGTCGGGCCCGGTCGTTGGAGTTCCAGAACACCCGGAAACGCGAACTGTTCCAAGGGCCCCTGCGCTGAGACATCCAGTCGGTGAGCGCCTCTTGAGTGTCCCCAGGTTGATCCAGGACGTGTCTGGGTGGCTCAGCAGCTGCATTGAAGCCCCCAGTGGTCGCCGCGAGCCTTCGCGAAGGGCGCTCGGCGGCCTCCATTCGCAGAGGCCGAATTCGACGAAGAGGCCCCTCATCCGCTCAGCCGTGATGTTGTGATTGTGCATGTTGAAATGAGCAGCCCAGGAGTCTTCCGAACACCCCCCCTCCGCCGCCGCCTCGGCCGACGCCGGCGGGGCCTGTGCTTGGAGATGAGATGAGCCTGGAACGAGCGCCGCGACTCCGCGCGCTGGCGTGGTGGATGAGGGGCGCGAGGCACTCGAGTTTGATGTGTGAATTATACATGAAGTCGCCCAACTCGGCCCTTATCCCATGGAATTCCTGCCATATTTAAATACTGCCCGCTCTGATGTACTTGGCGAGGTAGGAAAGTTTGCGAGACCGCATCGAGACCTCGTGGTAGAAGAGCGAACGAATATTCCAGAACAAGAGCTGTAACGGCCTGTCAGCGTCCCCGCGGCCTCTCCAGGGCCGCGCGACGTTGTAAAATCCACTCCGTCTGCGGAGGCTTCGCGAAACACCCGGCGAGCTTCTCTGCCACTGCGTTCTTGTCGAGCCTCACCTCCGCCATGTTCGCGCTGCTGTAGTGCAGCTGCGGAGGATCGCCACCTGGAAGAGGAGTAACTTTGACCGAGCCCTTACAACCAGACGACAGTTCACCTCTGGGCTCCCTCTTGATGATCTTGAGGGCGAGCTCCCTCTTGACCTGCGCAGGAATGGTCCCCTGACGTGTGCACTTCGTGGTGGATGTTGCTGGTGTCGGTTGTTCGAAATCTTTTTATGATCCGTCACCTTTCCGGAGGGCTCCCAAAACTTGCGCCGCGCGACGTGCGGCATAAGACGATTTCCCAGCCGTCTGAGACACAAAACGACGAGCGACTGGTTTACCCGAAATTCAAAATCGGTACTGTCCAGATTGCTGCGTGCCAGCCAACCTTCAAGACATGCAACAACATTCTTGCAGGGAAGGCGCCATTTCGAGCGAATGATGATGATGCTGCTGTCCACGGTCCTCTCGAATGAGTGGCCGGCGTCTCTGGCAGGCGGGGTGTCCGCCTTAACTTTACCAAGTACCTGGTGCAAGTGTTGCATGTGTTCCCCGAGCTTGGCAATCCGCTCGTCGTGAACGGACACCTGTGCCTCCGTCTTCGCCAGGCGGGTCTTCACCTTGGACAGTTGTCATACGAGGTGCGTGCCGTCTGCGGCAATTGCTCAGAGGATGAAGCCATCGATTCGCCTGCTGTCCGACGCGGTCGATGGCGGCATGCAGATCATCCTTGGTCTCGCCCGGGTAGTTGTGCAAACTCTCCAGTGACAAGCCAGCGGCACCGCCATCTGCACGACGAGTCTCCCAGGAGACAACTCATCGTCACCGGGCAGCAGTCGAGCCCTCACAACGACTAGGAATGGTGTCACCAAGGGTGCGCTTGGACTTCTGTCCCTCATCATTGTGCGACACCCAGCGGCCGAGAGTGGTGTAACAAAAGCGGTGCGGAAAAGGTAAAAAGGAAACCTGGCTCTCCAGCCAAGGGGGGCGGCGCCCTCCGTCGGGTAACTAAGGCCCTCACCGCATACACCTTCAACGACCGACAGAGGGTGGCTTCGGGCAACGGCTTGAGCCAAAATTGCTACGGACCTCCTCCTCCTCCTCCTCCTCCTCCTCTTCCTCCCCTTCTTTTTCCTGTCCAGCCCCACCGCCAATGTCATCTCGACCTCCTCTGCTGTCCATCTTGCCTCCCCGGGAATCCCCAGAACCCTTGTAATCAAAACGGAAACATAGTTGCTCCCTCCTTCGCCTCCGTTCTCTCCGCATCCACCGGTTCCTCCCCTCTTTCTGCCTCTTGCCGTCGTTGTCGCCGCCGTCGTCGCCGTCGTCGTGTTCGTCGTTTTTGTTGTCGTTGTCGTCGCCCGACAAAGCATTAATTCAAAAACGGTCCCAATGCCCAGAATCAAAGAAAAACCGACGAGATACACGAGAGCGTCATTCAAGCACTGTCGACGAAGACGACGACATTGTCGACGCCAGCCCACCGATCCGCCAGCGGCACGCAGGCGGCGCCGTCGTCGGCGCCACCCGCCCGCCGCTGCTTGGAGGCGCGCGTAGGGGGTTGGTGCGAGAGTGCGGTTTTCTAAGGCGGGAGGCTTCTTGGAAGGCGGGGGCCCTCTCAGCAACGCCCAGGTGCTTCCAGAAAACGCCTCAGAAGCCGAAGGGCCAGCAAGAAGGGGCTCGTCTCGTCTTCTTGGACGTCCGTCCCCCTTGAGCACCCCCCCTGTGCGCGCCGCCAAGTTTGGGTGGTTCAGCGGTGGGGCCCTGAGGGCTGGGGCCCCAGGCGCGAGTGGTGTCAGACAGGGAAGGCTCAGCTTCTGGATCCCTTGTTTTCCGTCGGTGAGGGGCAACGTTGGTGGGGGACTGGCTCAGGGGGGAAAGCGTCGGACTGGACTCGGCGATACGCCTCCGAGAGATCGGCGATTAACCTCCGATAGCAAATCCGCACGCGTCCTGGGCGGGGCGGACTATCATGCTGTTATCGGCGACAAATGGGCGATCGGGGGTCGGTGCGCTCCCCCCATGAGCCTATCCTCCCAACGTTGCCGCTGAGGATCCCTTTCCTGTCCTCAGGGCTCCGTCTCTGAAGACCCCATCTTTGAACCTTGGAGCAGGGCGACTTGAGGTAACGGCAACTCAAGATCGGTCCTAGGACCCACCCTGGGGTCCAAACGCACCAGTTTTTCCGAGCTGCGCTCAGCTATGGCGACAAGGGCCCCCCCCCCCCCGAAGGCCAACTACCGTTGTCTCAACTCGTCCTACTCTGAACCCAAATCCCCGACGACATGATTTTCTCACAACGTCGACCTCCGGAGGTCTCCACACATTCCCCGGGACAGGACCATCTTTCTGAGTCGCCTTTTCACGGCGCTGGGGCCCAACGAGGGCCCCCAAAAGATGAAAATAGCAACAAAAACTCCCGTCTGGATTTTTCTTGATCCAAGGGGATCTGGGCATCCGTGAACAGCCGCCGAAACTTGCGGCAACTGACGGGCCATAAGTCGGGTCTCACGCGGCCATTCGGGACGACTCGGGTACCCCGGGGGACGCTCTCGGCGAGGCGCATCTGCTAAAAAACATCCCATGGCTGGAAACCCCCGCAACGTTCGAAAACGAGAAAAAAACCTCGAGCCTCGATCCCTCGATCCTCGATCGCCCTGCTCGTTCGGCCGCCAGCCGCCGACCGCCAGACCGCCCACGGCCTCGGCACAGCGCGCCAGCGGCGCCCGCCTCGGCCACGGCCGCGGCCGGGCACCCCCACCCGCCGGCGGCCGCGGCGTCGGCGCCGAGCGCCGTGCTGAGAGGCGGGGGCGGCGAGGACAACGACGAGGACGAGGACGACGACGACGACCGACGAAGATGACGACGACGAGGACGACGACCGACGATGACGACGACGACGACAACGACGAGGACGATGGCGACGACGACTACGACGATGACCGACGACGACGACGACGACGACGACGAGCACGACGACGACGATGACGACGACGAGGACGATGACCGACGACGGCGATGACGACGACGAGGACCACGACGAGGACGATGACCGACGACGACGATGAGGACTGACGATGACGAGGACGAGGACGATGACCGACGAAGACGACGACGACGATGACGACGAAGAAGACGATGAGAATCGACGAGGACCGACGAGCACGAGGACGAGGACGACGAGGACTGCCAGGACGACTAGGGCGGCGACGACTTCGGATCCCCCATAGTTTGGATTACTTTTCGATTAAACATGTGCCGCAAATGGGTCCCGAAAGATGCGAACAAGTAGTGCGGATATCTCCGACCCCATCTGCTCTGACCTCATCATGCTAGATCGACGGCCCCACGAGGACCCCTGAAGAGCTGGCCCGAAGAACCCCTCCGAGAGCGGTCGCGGGCGCACGCGCTGCCGCTGGCCTCCAGGCCGTCAGCGCGGCCGACGCGAAGGTGCGGGAGAAGAAGCGAGAGGCACCCAGAGTTCCCAAGCATTGTGCAATTCGATGCTGGGATGATCGCGGGGGTTGCTAACGGGATAGGGAGTTTATCGGTGGATGCTAAAGTGGGTTGTATCTGGCCTAACCTAGCTTCTTGTTTGGGTTACACATGCCCCGAGTGGCTTAGGAGGGGTAGCCATCTGACCTAAGCGGTGGAGCCCGCTTAGCGGAATTGTTTAACCCACCCAGGCCACTTAGGGCACTTGTAGCCCAGTTACAAATCAGGTTCAGCCAAATATGACCCACCTTTGGTTCCACTGATGATTCCCTTATCCCCTTAGCAAACGGTCATCCCCAAACGGATTAGTTTCGTCATCTTCGGCCTCCAACGGTCCTCGCAAGGCCCTGGGACCGTCAAAAAATGGCTCGGGATGCAGAACTGGTCATTGGGGAAACGGGTCTGGGAATTCTGGGGACCCCGTATTGACATAATGAACATATCGGATGTCTGGGCAAGCATCCGACGCATGGCGCCTGGCGCCGGGCGCCTTGCCTGAGGCGGGGGCGCGCGCATCGTTTATTCGATCTCCATCCCCATCCCCACTGGCATTGTCTTGGCTCCGCTGCTCGACTTCCCCCCTGGGAAAGCATGTATGCTGCTCCTTTCGTTTTTCGTGGCGCCTATCCCCACCTGGTGGGGTGGGCTGAGAAACCATGGCCGAGTGAGGATGGGAATCGGTTAGACGATGCGGGGAAGGGTCGGGTCGGATCGGCGGTCCACAGGTCCATGATCTTCGAAGGTGTGGTCTCTCTGGTGCCGAACGTTTTCTTCGATCTCGTCCTGACCAATGCGTTGCTTGGCATTGCTTGGAACTGTTGCTTGGTATTGCCTGGCCCTGGGCAACCGTGGGCAGCCCCGAGTAACGCTAGCTGGGAAGGGGCCCGCACCCACGAGTTTCTGCCACAAGCGAAAGCAAACGGCCAAACCATGTCGTATTTGGGAAAGGACGGAAACGGGACCCCTGGCATCTGCCGATTTTTTGGTATTCTTTCAAATCCGCGGCCCCAGAGGTTCCGACCGTTTCCCCAAGGGTAGTTCTTCGTCACGGCTCCAGTTTTGATGGTGCTGGGGCCCGATTGGTGTCAGTTTTTGATTCGTGAAAACAACCGGGGCGGGTGATTAAAACATGATCCCTCTGCTCAGGCGAATCGCGGGGGGGGGGCGGGGGCACCCGCCAAATGGAAACACCCGGCGGCGCGGCGCCAGTGATTAGCACCGACACCCAGCCGACAGCTGGATGGCGACAGGCGCGACGCAAGCGGCGCCGCTTCAGCGGAGGGGGGCAAAAACTCCTCCGCCACAGCGGGGCGGTTGGGCCAAAATGGATAGAGACAGGAAAGGAAGAGGAGGCGGGGGAAAGAGGCGCCACAGCTGGCGGGCGGTGCCGACATGGCTGCAAACGAATGGGAAGAGGTGGGAGAAGCGGCAGAAACAGGCGGAAAAGGCCCCTCCTTCTCCTTCTCCTTCTCCCACCCTCCCCGCCCCTTCCACTACAATATGTCCATGTCCTACGACGACGACAACGACGATGACGACGATGGCGACGGAGGACGACGGCGACGGCGACGCCGGACGACGACGCACTGCGGATGCTCCACGGGGGGGGGGGGGCAGGGGTGCTGCACATGCCCGCTGTAGTCGTCGACGACGCCGACGCCGACGCCGACGCCGACGACGACAGACGACGAAGCACTGCGGATGCCCCAGAGGGGGCTGCGGCGCTGCGAGTCCCGTTGCAGCCGATGACCACGACGACCACGCAGTGCGGATGCCCCATAGGGGGGACGCTGCGTAGGCCCGTTGTAGTCGACGACGACGGCGACGAAGACCACGACGACGGCGACGACGACGGCGACGGACAACGACGACGACGACGACGACGACGGAGGACAACGACGACGACGACGACGACGACGACGACGACGACGACGACGACGACGACGACGACGACGACGACGCCGACGACTACGACCACCACTATCACGACGACGAAGACTATGGCACGTAGGGGGGAACCTTGGCCTCGGATGTATACGATCCCTCTCACAACATTTATACGACAATGCAATCGTTTTGAAGCTGGCGTGCAGGCGGTACACGATTCCCTCGGCGGCGCCCCTGACGACTCCTTGGCGCGCGTGGTAAAAGAAACATGTTTCGCGCCCCGCGGGGTCTATCCATCAGTCCTGGGAGGTCACTAATGAGTCACACGCTGAGATTGCGGGGCCCAAGGGCCGAAATCAAGGAAGAACGCGCGGACTGCAAATCGAAGAACAACACGCGGACTTAAAACAATCAGGTCGTCGGAGACCTGGGACAACAAACCCTCCGGGGAAGGGGCTGGGGCCGCGCATTGAAGGCATCACGTCGTGGGACGTCTGGATACATGCCCGTCGCGTGGGCAGCAGCCGGGGTGGGGGGCACATTCGCTGATATGCGGCAGTCCGAGTGCGTCCGCTGAGCGAGCCAAAAGGTCGAAAGTCGGAACCCTACACCTCTCTTTTGGTGCGTTCAGGCGAGGATTTCGGCGAAGTCTCCCGCAGGCCCGAGAAGGGTGAACGATACCACAAATCTTCGGGGCCTTCGGGCCCGCGAGGCGCGGAGCGCGAACATTTTCGCGCCGCCGCGGGTGACCTGGCAGGTGTGGGGTCGGACGCCAGGGGGGGGGGATAGCCAAAGGGGGTTGGGGAATCAGCTGCATGCATCAGGGCCCCGCGGACGCGGACTCTTGACAAAGAAAGACTTTGGCGCGCTTGAGATAATTGACTGCAGCCGTGGGTCGACATGTTCTCCGTCCCGTTTCCTCCAACCGGAGTTGCCAAAAATCCTGGCTTACGATGTCCTGTTTCCTGGGGCCTTGAACGCAGCTGGATTCCCCAGCGCCAGTGGCGGCCACGTATCGAAGCAAATGCAGGGCGGCGGGGCCGAAGCCAGCTGCGCGCGGTAAGTTTTGCGTCCCTCAGTACGCGGCATCGGGAGCCGTCGCCACACTCTCCTCCGACGTTGAATTTATTTTCGTGACGTCGGCCCCTGTGGATCCGCCCACTGCCCTGGGGCACATTTTCGTCTCGAATCGTTTTTTGACGGTCCCCATGCTGGGAAGCGGCCTCCCGAGGCCGAAAACTTTACAACATCGGCAGTCACGATTCTTTTGCAGTGGTCCGCGTGCGGGGAAACGGCTTCCAGAGGCTGAAAACGACGGAAAACTGGCCGACATGATTTTTTGGCAGTGCCCAGATCTGAAGTAGGTAGACGAGCGCGTTCCACTACTCGCAAAGTAACTACTCGCAAATGGCCTGTATCCGCCACAGGGGATCTACGATACGTTACATCAAAGCCGACATCTGCTTTTCGGACGTTTGCGAGTAGGCACTCTGCGAGTAGTGTAACGCGCTCGGTGAGTAAGGCTATGGCTAGCGGCGGCCGGGCGGCCGGGAGCGAGAGGCGGCCGGCGGCGGCGGCGGCAGCGGCGGCCGCACCGTTGCTGCGTGGTGCGTTGGCGGCCCTTTGCCACGGCGCTGCCGCCCGCGCGGCCCATCCTCGGGAGTGAGGAGTGCACTCGACGACCGTAGTGGGATCGGCGGGGGGGGGGGGCGCTAAGGGGATGGGGGGCCTTTCAGTGGATGCCAAGGTGGGCTATTTCTGGCCTAGCCTAGCTTACACATGGGTTACACGTGGGATACACATACCCCGAATTGCTTGGGGTGGTTAGCGATCCGGGCTAAGTGGGCTCCGCCCACTCAGCGAAGCTACGTGACCCAGCTGAGCCACTTGGGGCATTTGTGCCTCACTTCTGAGCCAGGTCTGGGCAGATCCAACCCACCCTGGCATCCACCGATGACTCCCGCAGCCCTGTGGCCCCCCCCGCGCCGATCCCAGCAGTGAGGGTGCGAGGGAGGGCTCGTCGGCGCGCCCATTGGGGGACGCGAGAGGGGGCATGCCTTCTCAGAGGGCGGCGGGGCTTCGCGGAAGTCCTCGCGCCTGCTGCGAAGCCGTCCGCGCATTGGGAGGAGGCCGACGGGGCTCCTCAGAAGGCGAAGCGGCTTCTGAGAAGCCCCGCCGCCTCCTGAGAAGGTCTGTCCTCTCTCATTTCCCCTTCGGCTCGCCGCCGAATCATGATCACAAAGCAGCATCATCATTATCGTCGTCGTCGTTGTCGTCGTCGTCGTCGTCAGTGTCATCGCCATCATCATCGTCGTCGTCGTCATTATCAGCAGCAGCAGCAACACCACCACCACCACAACCATCACCATCACTGTCATCGCCACCATGCCGTAGCCTTGAAGCTCCAAGCAGTCTGGAGGAGCGAGCCGTTACTAACACTTTTCGCACGTAGCGGCGGATTCCATCTGAGAGAGTTTGGGTTACCTTGACGCACCCTTGCGCACTCGTTGGAGGACTCAAGTATCCATCTGTCGGAAGATGTCGGTATACATATAGGGTAGGAAGGCGCTGAAAGTAGATTGGGTCTGCGCCTACCCCCTGAAGAGGAGGAAAGAGGAAGCACCGTTCGCCTCTTGAAACAGGAAGGCGCTACAGTGTACTGGGACCTGGGAATCCCGAAGTACCTACTTTCAACGACCGAAGGGTACACTGGACGCCCACAATAGTGATGCACGGCAAGGGTGCAATATCCTTGGACGTTCACGTTCCAGCACCTTCAGCGGCACGCGACCAACGACAACTGAATAAGGACGGGCCTGAGAGGCAGGGATGGCAGGGTAACCTTGATAAGGTACTGCATCTTCGCTATGGGTTTGACTTTTTTGGGACAGCTTTGTTTTAGCATCCGCAGTCACAGACCCCCGTAGTGGGCATATCGAGTCAAGATCTACTGTATCCCTAGACCTCTCGGGACAGAGTTCACTACACATTATTGACCCAACTTCACTTCTTTCTGGGGGCTTCGAAGAGCACGGCGTTGCGATATCCCTGATCTGCCCCCGAGGTGTTTCAAAGAAACCATCCAGGAACACAACATCGAGAAATCCGCTGCCGTTCAGGAGGGCTATCCCAACCGCGGGAAACACAGAAAAATGAGCACAACGAGACACGTATATTGCAAGTCGTAACAAAACATCGCATCGCGATGGGTATAACTCAGTCGCAGTCTAAGCGGTCGCACCTGGGATCAGGCAGCGCGACCAAACTGAAACCCAGACTCCGAGGAGGAGGAGGGAGGACAGGAGGGGAGAGAAAGAGAGAGAGAGAGAGAGAGAGGGAGGAGAGGAGAGGAGAGGAGGAAACGACTCGAGATGCCGCAGTGCACTCGCCCCTGGCGCTGGTTATGCACCCTGGGTGGCCTAGGCAGCCAGACATCAAGCAACCAACACCGAAGGAGAACGTCCGCACTGAAGACATGAGGCGGCTCCAGCCTGCCGAGACATACAGCTAGAATTAGGTCGGGCATGGACGAAGCACTAAAGAGCAGTCACAACAAACTCCAAAATATTCAAAAATCGTCGAAACATCGTCCCCAGACTACTTGTGGACCATTTCTGAATACTCCCCCTGTGGAGGGACAGGCCGGGCTTACAGCTGGAGCCGAGGCGACCCCACCGCCAAGGCGAGGGGCACGCGCCCTCAAGGATCGCAGGCGGCGAGATTTCTTTTCGAGGGGCCCGGGGACACACAGGTGAATGCACACAGAGTCCCAGGATACCCCGTACTTTTATGTGTCAACGATCAGGTCGGGCATGTCCCTCTACAATCGGAATTGGGACGAACAATAAAAAAGACCCCCCAAATACCCCCCCAAAAACATGCAAAAGTTGTCAGAAAATCGTTCCCAGACTGTTCTTGACTAGTCTGAGATATTCATCCTGTAGAGGGACAGGCCCGCAAAGCCGGGCGGCGGCGAGAATTAGTTTCAAGGGGCCCAAGGACACACGTATAAGTACACACAGATCCCAGGATTCCCAATCTTTTTCCATCTCTTCTGGGCTCTTGTCCCCCCCCCCAACTCCCCCCACCTCCCATATTTTCCCATATTTTCCTTGGAGTCGAGGATTGGTTGTGTCTGTGTGTTTCTTTCCCTCCTGATAGTTGTGTGTCAAAGAAGATCAAAGAAGAGGTAGAAACCACAACGACGACGAAAGGCCTCCAGCAAACCACCTCCAAGGCATGCGGCCGCCGTGCGACCGACGGCAATGCCCCTTGGATGGGGAGGGGGGGGGGCAGCAGGCAGAGGAGGCGGAGAGCGGGCCAACCCCAGCAGGGTCGGCCAGTGCTCCACCTCCGGGAGGACCTGGAGGAGAGGGAGAAGCCCCGGAGCTTGCAGCTCGGCGTGCGAGGCATGGGCATCACGCGGAACCGACGACATTACATCGTCTGCCTGCGGAGCCCCGCCGCAAGCGCCGCTGGTCGTCGCCAGTGGCCTGGGCCTAGCGCCTCCAGGGCGGAGTGCCACCACCCCGATCCAGACACGTTCGACCCAGCGAACCCTGAAGACCGGCGGAAATGTACGATAGCCCCGGACTCGAGACGCGCCAGCGGTCAACGCCATGTGCGGACCGAGTATCGGTTACGCTGCCGGGACAGCAAACAACTACAAACAGGAGAAGAAACAGAAAGGAAGAGGGGGAATAATTCATGGGGAAAGGGAGAAAAAGGAAAGGAATAGCTGCCCGCATTTCCAGCCACCGTGAATGGCAAACCTTTGAACCATGTGATGCTGGACGTGTTTCTCAAACCCGCCGGGGGTTCCAGCAGGTACCAGCGGTCTCCGTGGAAATGCTTCACGCCCAGCGGTACGCGAGGGAGCAGCAGGCTAGGGAGGGAAGGGGGGAATGAAGGCGAGACGACGAAGCAGGAGAAAGGACGAGGGAGAAAACATGACTAAACGAAACACAATGCATTGCAACATACCGTGGCCACATGAAGAACAAAAGGCTGCGTGAGACAACCACTGGCGGCGACGCCGCACATGCATTCAGAAATGTAAAGGGCAGAACTGGCCAGACACTAAACGGACGGATAAACGGTCGCTGATACGAAGCCTCTTCAGAGCAGTCCGAATGAGAGATCCTGGAACCTCGGGTGGCCGAGCGGGGCTGCCCGAACACAGCCGCGGAAGGCGTCTGGCGCATCCATGGTCGAGAGCCCGTGGAGCCACGCGTTGTGCGTCCTGAAGAGCGCAGCAACGCCAGCGGCGCGAAGTGCGATTGCAGCTGCCTTGGCCTGCCCCCCCCTGCGCTGCTCAGGGAGGCGACGCACGTGGGAGCACATGCCCAGAACGTGTGCCGGGCACGCTTCTGGTGGGGGTTGCCCTACCCCTGAGCTCCTGCGACAGAGCGAATCACACAAATAGCAAGATTCGTGGTGATGGAGGGTGTCCCCGCCTCGCTGGTGACCAACGTGGCAGCGCCCGTTTTCTTGGAAACGCCTCGGTGTGCACCAACCGTTCCACGCCGAGCGCAGCTGGGAGGCCTTCGCCCGAGGAGTGGAGGGGGAGAGGGGCGGAGAGAGAAAGCTATCGGGGATGGACATACCTCCCTTTAGCAAAACGTGGCTCAGTGAAAACGACCTCGGGCCCAAACCTGGCGGGCGCACGCCTGGAAAACGACGGCCGCGGCGCCCGCTCGAGAACACCGAAAACGGACAATTCACGAACCGACGTGGCAGGGTAGGAGGTCTGTCCACCCCCGAAGAGAGCGCGTCCAGGCGGCGGGGCGGTGCCCTGGAAGCACTGAGATCTGCCAGCGGTCCAGCCTACGCCTCACCTGCGCGGCCGACGAGTGCTCGGCAGCGGCGCGGAAGACCCGCGTGGCGGGGGCCTGCTAAACCTCCTTCTCGTCCCCGGATCAGTCGCCCGCCGTCGGCGAAGGGCCGCCCAAGCTCGCCGCCTGCTCTGCGGATGACAGCGCGGTGGAAGCCGCGCACAAGTGGAAGACGCAATAGTCCTCGACGGAGTCCCGGAGTCTGTCGACCCAGTGCTGGTTTACAGGCCGCTCCGCCATGCGCCGCAACCTGTCGGCCCTGGCCTGCTTTTGAGGCCCCCGTGCGCCGCGTTCTCCAAGCGAGCCACCCGATCCCAAGCCGCCAAAGCTGCGCTGGGCACGTCCGGCAGGGCTCGAGGGAAGTGGAACGGTCGGAGATCCTTGAGCGCGGCAACCGAGATCCAATCTTTCGTCCCCCGGCATAACAAGGAGCACGCCTGATGCTCGATGCCTGGGAAAGTCGGCGGCAGCGCGAGCAGCTGCACGACGAACAATATCACGACGCAGCTAGCGTATACCTGGTACGCGAGCATCAAGTGGAGCAGATCTGCTCCCAGCTTGCCCCGCCTGTCCGCCCTGTCGACAAACTTCTTGGGCGGCGTCGTCCATGAAGACTTCGCCTGCACGGGCCCCACCGTCATGCCCGGGTGCTTTGCTTTCCCGGCCGTGGGGAGCCCGCCCCACAGCGGCGCTGCTCGAACCACGCGCGACTGGATCTCGTCCAGGTCGTAGGGGAACAGCGACACCAGCACCGTCTTGTGGACCTTCAGTCTGATACCAAACAGGCGCTCGTACTCCTCGAAGATGTCTCGCACCAGCCCCAGGTGCCGCAGGAGCTCAAGGCCGACCATCGATGTGTCGTCGGCGTATGCCCCCACGCACGCGGAGGGCACGGCGCGCCCAACCTCCTAAGCAAGCCTAACGCGACGGCGAACAAGAGCGGGGAAAAAGGACACCACTAGCGGATTCGTCGGTCAAGCCTGACGCCCGCGTGCCTAGAACTGCCCAGCACCATGAAACACGTGTTGCGGGCGTACATGCAGGCGAGAAAATAGACCAACCAGGGCGGCCAGAGCAGCCTGCGGCAGATGGCCAACACAATGCTGTGCTCAATCGCGCGACAGGGGCTGGCACGCAGATGTTCGTGCATGACAGAGCTGGCACACATGTGCAAAACTGTTGTCGGAGAAATGCGGGCATGACGGAGGATGATAACAAATCGCCGTTGGAACGCGTGCTGGACATCCTTTCTTCCCCTTGCCGGGAGGAGAAAGACGGAAGGTGGAGGGAGGACGCAACGCTGCCCGAATGAGGATGCGCCAAATGAGGGGGATGAGGATGAGGATTAGGATGCTGATGACGATGCGGAGGAGGAGGACAAGGAGGAAGCGAAGGAGGAGGAGGAGGAGGAGGAGGAGGAAGAGGATCAGTGTAAACTCAAGATGCATCAACGATGTTGCAATAAGCCCTCCCTCCAAGTTCCCTCTTCATAGGTCGCTACCAGAAGTAATTCTCATCGCGGGAAGTGGCCTATTCGAAGATAATCGTATGGTAATCCCCAATCGTGCCAAGACGCAGTTTCTGCGGCTTCAACGCCGCGGATCAACATGACTGCTGCGTGCTGGCAATTCTAAATCGTGCCAGAACGCCGCTCCTTGGCCTTCAACAGCGAACCAATGTAGCTGCTGCGTCCTGACAACCCTGAATCGTCCAGAACACCATTCTTGCCACTTTGGCGATACGAGCCCTTGAAACTGTTGTGAGCCTTGAGGCGAATGTGCGCGGCGTTAAGAAGCGAAGACCACATTTTGAAAAGGAGCCGCCCTCCATCCGTGAACCAGCTGCACACTTTTAAAACGAATGTGTGCGGCGCTGAGGCGAGAACCACATTTTGAAAACTACCCGCCCTTCATTCGTGGAATTGCTGCAGACTCCTAAAACGAATGTGCGCGGCGCTAGGGCGAGAACAATATTTTGAAAACGGCCCGCCCTCCATCTGTGAAGCTGTTGCACATGTCGAGCTCCAGGATCAGACGTTGAGAAGAAATCTCATGCGAAACGCCCAGTCCGCCTTGCCGACACGTCTGGGGGTGCGACAAGGAGGCGTTATTTATAAGGAAAAGCAATGGAGGAGGAGGAGAAGGAGGAGGAGGAGAAGGAGAAGGAGGAGGAGAAGGAGGAAGATAAATGAGCACGAAGGAGGGAGGGAGGGATGCAGGAGGGATGGATGGCGGCAGGGGGCGAACGAGCAGAGACGTAGAGGGAGGCTCCGAGGTAGGGAGGGGGGAGATGAGTAGGATAGGTTTGGATGTCACTTTCTATTACATCGTCTGGCATGAAGCACAAGACCAAGGAGGAGGAAGGAGGAAGGAGGAGGACGAGGGCCCTCGGACCCATGATCCAACTTCGAGGTGCTTTCGGATGCTGCCAGAGGTCCAGATGGGTTCCCGAGCACCGCTTGCGAGACCCAGGGGTTTCAAAATGGCGCGAAAAACTGCGGGCACTTTTGAAGGGGCCCCAGGGCACACAAATGAATACACAAATCCCAGGATTCCCAATATTTCCAATATTTTCTGGGTTTTCGTCTTCCCCCCCTTCCCATATTTTCCCATATTTTCCTTGGAGTCGACGGTTAATTGTGTCTGTGTTTTTTTTTTCCCTCCTGAACTTTGGGCTCCTGTGCTCCCCCCTATCTGCTTTGACGCTCGTCGCCATTTCGAGCGCAGCGAGAGGCCTCTCGCCGCCACGGCTGGGTTCTCCTCGATTCTGGTCCAAACGCAGTCCAAACGCACTCTATGACAAGGCTGGGGAGGCCTGTTGGCATCCAGAACCTCGGCACGAAACAAATCGAGACGGCCCGGCGTCACGGAGCAGATCGGGATGGCCCCTTTGTCGCCTTTCCGCCTGTGGAGGCTTGCTGGGGGTCCCCCGGGCCATCCATCGGAAGAGGACCCGGGAAGAACAGCCCCTGACATCATGGCTAACGGGCAGCTCCGCGGATCTGGCACGTCGGCGCGGGGGGGGGAGAGGCAGCCCCGAAGCACGAGGCCAGCACCGCCCGATCTGGCGACGGTGCGCGCCGACTTTTCGCACGGAAGTGGGGCCCGTCGCCAATCCGCCAAGGTGCCACGCCAGGGGGGGACGGGCTCAGAGGGGGGGAAGCATCGACCTGGAATCGGTGATACATCGGCGATGAATCGGCCATAGGCCCCCGAGAGCGAATCCGCAAGTTCCTGGCCGGGGCGGGCTATCGGGCCCCCGCGACGACGACTGCGCGATTGCGCGTCGATGTAACTTCGCCGCCTGAGCCTCTCCCCCCCTGACGTTTGCCCTTGATCAAAGGCGTTGCAGAGTCCTGGGCGGGGGGGAGGAGAGCCCACGCAGCAAAGGAGCGCGGCGTGGAACGTGGGTGGGCAGGCGCAAGCGCCTCTGAGGCCTCCCCCGGCACCGACCCTCGCGAGCCAGGGCCACCCTGCGGCATCGAGAAGCTCGATGCCGGGAAAGGCCCGGGGAGGGAGGAGGGAGGGAGATGAAGGGGGGGCAGGGGAGGGAGAGAAGGCAGGAGGAAGGGAGGGAGGAAGGGAGCGGTGGACCGAGGGAGGGCGGGGAATCAGGGGGAGGAGGGGTAGGAGAGGGAGAGGGAGGCGTGAGTAGAAGCGCGTCCGGGGAGGGGGGGGGGCGGCAGGGGCGGTCCCGCACCCCCTCGCGGAGGCTCGGGTGGCAGCAGAGCTCGTGCTGGGATGTTTTCACTTCCTGGCCCGATCTCCCGTGCCTGCACGGCCCATCGCTACCGATCTCGTCCTTGCTCCCTCCCCGCCTTCTTCCCCTCGCCTCTTCATCGGAGGTGAGGGGGTGAGGTCGCAGTGGAACGGAGAGCACCCCCACCAGGAAATCGGCTTCGTTTTCCTGTGCGTGCCGTGCGGGCGAGGCGAAGCTGCGTAGGCGCGCCACAGGAATCATGCCGTCGTGGCTAGCGGCTGCGGAGCCAATTGTCCGGCCCCCCCCCCTCTGGCGCGCGGTGGCCGTGGGTGTCCCGTCAGTGGCACGACGGTGTCCCGTCGTGTCCCGTCGGTGGCGCGGCGATGTCCCGTCGGTGTCGCATGGTGTCCTGTCGGTGGCGCGTGGTGTCCCGTCGGTAGTGCGGCGGTGAGATCGATTCTGAGATCGATTGTAAGTCCCAATGTGATATCGATAGTGGGATCTGTTGTGAAATCGATCGCGAAATCAGTTGGGAGATCGATCGTGGGATCTGTTGTGAGACCGATGGTGAGATCGCTCGTGAGATCGATCGTGCGATCGACAGTGAGATCGATTGTGATATTGATTGCGAGATCGATTGTTGTGAGACCGATAACAAAGTCGATGGTGAGATCGACTGTGAGATCGATACTGGAACCTATAGTTAGAACTGTTGCGACATCGATCGTGAGTCCGAATGTGAGATCGATAGTGAGTTCAACTATAGTGAGATCGATGGGGAGATCGATCGTGATATTCGTTGTGAGATCGATCGTGAGATCTGAAGTGAGATCAATTGCGGGATCGATAGTGAAGTCGACAGTGGGATCGAGTGTGAGATCGATAATGAGATCTGTTATGAGATCGATCGTGAGATCGCTCGTGAGATTTATAGTGGGATCGACAGTGCGATCGATTTTGAGATCGATTTTGAAATCGATTGTGAGATCGTTGTGCGACCGATAATGAGATCGTTGGTGAGATCGACTGTGAGATCGATAGTGAGACCGGAAGTGAGAACTGTTACAATATCGATCGTGAGTCCGAATGTGAGATCGATAAGGAGTTCGGTTGTCAGATCTACGGTGAGATCGATTGGGAGATCGATAGTGGGATCTGTTGTGGGATCGATCGTGCAATTGCTTGTGGCATATTGTGGGATCGATCGTGAATTCGATTGTCGAATCGACTGTGAGATCCGTTGTGCGATCGATGACCTGTTGAGATCGATCGAGAGATCGATTGTGAGATCTGTTGTGTGATCTATTGAATGGGACGTTGGTTCCTCCTCCCCCCGAACCTCCATATCACCCGAAGGGTGGTCGTGTTGGTACAGGCATCATGCTATCAAAAAGAACGCTGAATTGGGAATGAAGGGGTTTTTCTAGCACCGTCGAGCCTTAGCCACGAATAGGTTCCCAGACCTAGGAACGGCCCTAAAACTAGATCCCCTCCTGAGCCCAAAATGGCTCTCACTTTGACATCTTCACTGTAATCCTCCCCCTCCTCCTTGTCCCACTCCGGCCCATCGTGACCTCCTCTTCCCCTGTCTCCTTCTTAGGGCCCTCCCCCTCCCGCCTGAGGGAAGAGTGCGAGCGCTGCGGGCGCACTTCAGCAGAAGCGATGCCCCTGAGAACATGCTCTTCCTGCGGCCCCGGCTCCTCCTCCCGCTGCTGCTGGCCGTCCTTCTCCTCCTCATTCTCCTCCTCCTTCTCCTCAGCAGTGGACTGTACGTATTATGCTGTTCAACGTATTGTTGTGTGGGGGGCATCAACTTTCTCCTCCTCCAATTTCTTCGTTTCTTGCCCCCCCGGGTTCCACTGGTCCTCCTAATGCATTCACCTCTTCCCGCCCTCAGCCACTCCTCCTCGATGAAAATCCTCCACCTTTGCGTCCAATCGCGTGCTTCATCCTGGGGACGTCCAGACGGAAAGGGGATGAAGGAGGACAGGCCATGTCACATTCGGCAAGCAGACGGCGAGGTATGAGCTTAGGTCACACGCCCCCTCCTGGCCCTCCGCTGCCCCATGCTGAACGCTTCTGCTCCACGGTGTCCATCTTTAATTTTCATGTTCTCGTTGGCTATTCCTCCTGGTTTCCAAAGGCTTTCCACGGCTTCCGCGAGCTTTTCCGCAATCAGTGGTCGCACTAAAGGTGTCCTCGTGGAAGATGCAGGGACTTGGCGTACAAATCTCACGCCGATTTGGGTAAGCGGTTGGATTCCAGGGGTTCCTGGTGCTTGGGCTCCTGGGCTCCGTGTCCAAGTCTGGGTGACATGTCCCCGCCGACTCCAGTGGGCGGCCGGTCGCCAGAGTTCCAGGTACCCAGAACAGAGAGAAGTGATGAACTGAATCTATATGTGTGTATATACACATATGTATGCATGCATGTATGTATGCATGCATGTATGTATGCATGTATGTATGTATGTGTGTATGTATGTATGCATGTATGTATGTATATATGTATGTATGTCTGTTTGTCTGTCTGTCTGTCTGTATGCATGTATGTAGGTAGGAAGGAATGTATGTATGTATGCATGCATTCATGCATGCATGCATGCATGTATGTATGTATGCATGTATGCATGCATGCATGTATGTATGCATGTGTATATACATATATATATGTATAACCTGTATATATATAAATACATCTCTCTATGTATATATATATACACACGAATCCGCCACCATGCCTCGAGGCGCAAAGTGGAGTCACCCCCAGGCTCTCATGTGTTCTCTGTTCCCTGTGCTCAGGACCTGGGGTTATAGTATTCTACGAGCTGGGGCCCCAGATTCTCAAATTTCCTGGGCGTTCCCGCGCGCTCCTGGGCTGCCTCGCGTGACTTTTCCAAAGGCCAAGCAAGCAAGCAAGCCATGCATCATGAAGACGCGTAGGCAGTGAAATGACTAAAAAGTTATGGTGGTACGCCAAACGCGTCCCGGAAGCAGTCCGCCAAACAGTCCTGGGGGCCTCAAAATGGCCCTAGAAAGCGTTCAAGAGGGTTCAAGAGCACTCCAAGACAGCCCAAGAGCACGCCAAGACGCCCCAGATGGTCCCAAGACGGTCCAAGATGCCCCAAAGAAGCCCCAAGAGCGCCCCGAGTGGACCTCCAAGAGGGCCCAACGAAGCAACAATCATTGACGTTCCTTGTGTTTTGAATGTTTTTCGCGTTCTCGCGTTCTGGGCTTCCGACGCTCCAAGATAGTCGCAGAGGCCCCCAGGACCGCCCCAAGACGGCCCAAGAGGCTCCCAAGAGGGCCCCGAGACGGTCCAAGAGGGCTCTAAAACTGCCCAAGAGGCGCCAAAGATCGCCCAAGAGGACCCCAAGACGGCCCCAAGATGGGCCCAAGAGGGGGAACACGAACTGACAATTCGAGCCTTTCGCCCCAAGAGGCCCCCAGGAGGCCCCAAGAGGCCCAAAAAGAGGACCCAAGAGGCCCCCAAGCGGCCCCCAAGGGGACTCAAAACTGCCTCCAAGAGGCCCCCGAGAGTCCTCCTACGATATCCAAAGGACATCCAAGATGCCTCTCACCCACAACCCAAGCACGGTGGCGGGATGGGCAGGAGGCCACAATATACATACATATATGTATACACACATAATCATACAGATGTATAAATAGCACGCATATAGATAGATATATAGATAGATCGATAGATATATATATATATATATATATATATATATATATATATAGAGAGAGAGAGAGAGAGAGAGAGAGAGAGAGAGAGAGAGAGAGGGAGAGAGAGAGAGAGAGAGAGAGAGACCGAGGATAGATGATTGATCTGTACACACACACACATTCCTATTCACATATTTTGATAAGGCCCGGGACCCCGGACAAAACCCCACCCCCCCCACCTGACCCTGGAAAAACGCCCCCCCCCCCCCCTAACGAATTTGGCCTACCCTGGGCCTCTCGGGCAACCCTCCAGACGACTGGGGAGAATCCCACGAGAGCCCGACGACGGCCCCAAAGGACTCCAGGCGTTTCGGCGCGCTCCCGAAACGAGTCCAAAGAGCCCCAAGACGGTCCTCGACGACCCCAAAGAAGCCGCCATACCCCCAAAGATCGTTCCAAAACGTGCCAAGAGACCTCCAAGAGCACTCCCAAGAGGCCCCCAGAGGCAACATTCATTATTTTTTTTGGTGTGTGTGTGTGTGTGTGTGTGAATTTTGGGGTTCTCCTCTAGTCGGCTTCCCAACGCTTCAAATCGGCGGGCTTCTTGGCGTCCGAAGCCGCCTGGGAACCTCGAAAATCACTCCACAACCATCCGAAAAGGCTTCCAGGCAGTCCAAGGGAGCCCCAAGACGGCACAACAGGGTTCCAATATTGCCCTAAAGAGCGCCATAACGGCCCAAGATGACCCCCGACCACCCCCCGAAACCTTCCAAATCAGGGAGACCGCGGTTGGAGGCAGGGTGGCCCGAGGAAGCCCCCAGAGGCCCCAGAAGACGCCCAGGAGGCTTCCAGAAGGCCCGAAGGAAGCCTGAACAACTTTTGTGAGGCCCCCAAGAGCTCTCCAAGCAGGAGCCTCCGCAAAAAGAGCGGAGGAGGATGGGGAGAATATGCAGGGTATGGCGAGAATGAGGAACAAACGTGGAGGGATAACATTATTATTCTCTTGCACAGGGTGTCTAAAGCTCCGACCATCTTATTCCGCGTTGCCCCCCCCCCCCCCGCGTCCCCAGCGCCAGAGTGGGACCCCCGCGTTGTGGCTCTCTGCCCCGAGCTCCCCCGCGTCCCCAGCGCCCCAGCGGGAGCCCCGCCCACTGCCCCCTCCGCCACGAACGCTTTATTCCGCGTCGCGCCCCCCCCCCTCCCCCCCCCTCCCCCCTCGCGCTCCCAGCGCCAGAGTGGGACCCCCGCGCCGTGGCTCTCTGCCCCAACCCCCCCCCGTCCCCAGCGCCCCAGCGGGGGGCCCGCCGAGTGCCCCTTCCGCCGCGACCATTTTATTCCGCGTCGCGACGCACACCACCTCCCCCACTT